TTTTGTAGAAGAGAAGCCACTGATTGATCAGTTTGCTTGTGTGGACCCAGTTCCTACATCTATAGATGCTGAATTTAAACCGTTTAATCAATCTGATAACACCCATGTGTATTTCAATTCTGACCAGGGAAGTAACTCCATTGATTGTTCCGATTATGGCTGGGGTGAACAGGGTTCTAAAACTCCCGAAATATCATCCATTCTTGAAGCTAATATCGAGGGTGAGGAGTTCTTGGAGAATGTAAACCCTAATAAGAAGCTGAAACCAAGTTCTGACAATGTTATGCCTACTGAAGATAATTCTGCAAAGAGTTTATCTGATGAGCTGTTGGCTTTGGACGATCCGATGAAGTTCTTCCAAATGCCACCACTCCTCGACGGGAACTGGGATGCCTCGATTGAGGCCTTCCTCAACGGAGAGGCAACACAGGACGGTGGAAACCCAATGTATTTCTGGAGCTTCGATGACTTCCCTTCCATTCCCGGGGCTGCTCTCTGAGCAAAATCTTTTCCCTACATGCTAGTTTTTGTAAATAAAGCAACATGTTAGTGAGTTTTCACAAACCCCTGCGGCAGCTTGCTTTATTCTGTTTATTTTGGGGGTAAACTGTTTATTTTTCTATATAACGTGCTTCTGTTTTGTTGTTTTAATTTTCTCAGGAATTTGGTCAAAACTGTGTTGTGAAGTTGAAACAAAAGCAAGCTTCATTGCATGCTTAAAGGCCCTTGTCTGCGGTGCTTTCAGAGGTTTATTTAAGTAATTTTTCTGTTTTTATGTCTATTTTTGTAGACTTTTGGACTTGGGAAACTTATATTTTGATGACTGTATAAGTGGTTTATGTGAGTTTTTATGATGAAAATACTGAGAACATATGAATGTTTGAACTTTGCTAATATGCAATCTTCTTATAATCTAATGATTACGATTTCTATCTATTTATTCTCTTGAAGTTTACATTTTTTAATTACTTTAATGGATATATTTTAGTACTCATTTTTAAAAATTTTATTATATTTATAATGATAAACCGATGACAGGTTTAAATTTAATATGTTATTTTAACAAAGTTATGGTCATATGAAGAATTCGTCAAGTATGGTGAATCTGTTGAGTTGAAAGCTTCAATTCTATATGCAGTATTCAGATTTAAATTGTTTTTTTTTTGGATTAAGTCTTTTCATTTAACATGGTAAAAGGACTAAAACAATTATTAGATCATTTACTTTCTAGTTAAGTAAAACCATCGTTCCCAGCGAGAGCCCAGTCTTATCTCATGGTATTTGCATGCTGTACTGCCGCGTATAACATGTACAAGCAGAAGTGGCCTCAGGGTGAGTTTGTGTGGCAGCACAAAGGCAGAGCCACGTGAAGTCATATGCCTTAACATTGATGTAAATGTTAATGAGAAATACAATCTTCTGCTCTGCTCGGTGCTATGTTTTTTAGTTCGCAGGTGACGACGAATGTGGAGCATGGCACAATTAATTGTCGGCAAGGGGATGTGCTCATACCTTGTATGATTAAATTTGTTCGGTAATGGTCAAGTGATGTGCCGTCGTACTGGTGGGGTCCAACTCATAAATGTTCAAATAATAAAACAAAATTATTGTCTATGTTATTATATCTACTCGTAGAAACTAAACGATTTAGTGGTTGAAAGATTGTATAGCATTCGTTGGGAGGTTTTTTTTTTTTTTTTGAAAAAAATATTATTTTATATTCATTTCAATTTTTTTTTAAAATAAAGCAATCAATACTTTGATTAAATAACGAGTTTCTCTGGAAAGAAATATTGAATGTGATATCCCCCACCATCGTGGATTAATGGGCATCGGCAACCCGCAAGCTACGGCGCTAAAATGGTTAGAGAAATGACGACTGAAGTGAAACCAAAGCATCTTTTTTCTATGAAGGGATATTGTGATTGCGAGTGTGTTCGCCAGTGCAACAAAATCTCTAGAGGGGTCTCGTGATTGTGCAAAAGGAAATTAAACAAGAAAGGAGACCCAATAATTAAGGGTGTTTGGGGTCTCGATTATTGGTGGATTACTTTAACTTGCGTTGTGTAGAATTTAGTTTTTCTGGGGTAAGGAATGAGGTGGTGGATTAGATCTTTACCACATCAAATAAAGCAAGACAGAGTCCGCTCCGTTTCTTATTTCTTGAAACATCTAATAACAACACATTATCTTATACTACCGGCATCATTTCCCCAATTCTATCATTTATATTTATTGTTAAAATCTGTTTTTAGTATTACCTTTACTAAAATATGAAGTCAAATTCCTTTTCAAAAATAATATAATTTACTGTATGTTGATGGAATAAATGAATTATGTTTACTGTTGGTGACTGATTTCTTTTGGTGTGTACGCAGAGTCTCGCAGTCAATGATTATACTAACATTGAACAGTGTTTATGTAATATGCCCTCATCATGAAGGAAAGCAGAGAAGAAAAGGTTAAAAAAGCGGTTGAGATTGGTTCTAGATCCTTTTCTATAATGACATTTAATATTGGTGTATGCTATTATTATCGTTCAGAGAATGATAGGTTTAATTGATGTGATATATTATTAACTCTGACAAATCATGTAATATCTATTATAGGTCATATCGAATGATCATAATTTCTCGAGTAATATAATAGTTTAGAGTTCAATGGTGTTCTCTCAAATGTTCTCAAAGGTCTTAATATAAGGAGGCCAATCTTGCATAATAGAACTAGAAGAGGTATAACTTAGACCCATTACTTAAAGTAATGTCATGAAAATGATTTGATCTAAGATTTGCATATTAAAAGTGATATTTCTAAAATCCTTGTTGTTATTCTTATAATATCGGAATGATTATCAATAAATAAATAAACATGATCCACAAAAAAAAATAAAGAACGATTTATGTGAAAAATCTAAAAGGGAAAATACAATATAATTTTGGAGAAAGAAAAATATGATATATAACCTCCCTTAGATACTTGATTACAAACTAGAATTTTTACTTTCTCAATTAAATTAATTAATTTATATAGATATATACTTGATTACAAAAGAATACTAAATAAAATATAAATCTACCTTAACAAAGTTATCTACTTTTAATCAAACTAAAATTTTTACTTTTTCAATTAAATATGAATTAATTTATGTCTCTTTGAATTCGAGCCAAACTCTAACAAATCTCCACCGTTAAGCGAATTCTGAAAGTGTGAAGGTTTCGAGACAAAACACTCAAATTCGATGAGACACCCAAACTCAACAAAAACAATTATTCACTTCAACAAACACGTTCTCCACCTCTTTCACAACACCCCTTAAGAAAGTAATCTTCAATAATGAACATCAACCAAATTCAAGCTTTTTCTAAGCTTGGATGAAAAAGCTTGAATTTAGTCCTCATATCAACATGGTTAATATAAGTGTCAACTTTGCTCACAAATGTATCACCATGAGCAACATCATACATAACACGATCCCGATCATCAATAATAATTTTATCTTCAAATTCGTTATGCTTATAAAATTGAATTCTTTCTGCTTCACATAATCATCTTGGCTACGATTATCTTGTTAAAAAAAACTTATTTTTTCTTAATTTAGTCAAGATGTTTTCACTAGTAACAAAGTTGTTTGACACGAGGGAGTAAATATCAACTTCATTATCTAAAACTGTTGAACCTTGTAGAACATAAAGCTTGACACTCTCCCTTTACCCTTTCATCACAACGAGAGAGCCCTTGTAAATTTTCATAGCTCCACCTTTACTGGAGAACTTGTATCATTTTGAATCTAAGGTACCTAACGAAATTAAATTTCTACTCAAATCTGGAACTTGTCTCACATTATCAATTGTTCGAACAATCACATCGAACATCTTAATCTTGATTGTGCCAAAACCTGCGACTTTAAAAGGGACATTATTTCCCAAAAATATATCAACTGCAGATACAACTTTATATGTCGCAAACCACTCTCAATTAGGACTCATATAAAAATTGCTACCAGAGTCAAGTATATACTTATCACTTGTTATAGTGTTGTCGTCAGCCGTAACTAGGAGTTCTCTTATATAAAATCTCTTCAGCTTTCTTTTTGATTTTATTTTATAACTTGTAACACTCTGATTTTATATGACCTTTATTTTTATAAAAGTGACAAGTTTTACCTCAATTGAAAGATTTTGTTCTGTCTATTATTTCATTACCAGAAGAATGCTTGTTTTTTTACGGTCTAAACTAATCGATCCATGCACCACGAGACCCTTTGTCTGGGTCTCGAAACCAGATACATGATACTTCATCTTGTCGAATAAATGTAGACCATTGTATACCTCTTTAAGAGTAAGTGTTTCGCGATTGTACAATATTGTTTCACTAAAAGATGAGTAGAAAGGGGACAATGAACATAGGAGAATATGTCCTAAGGGTTCTTGGTCATACTTCACTTCTAAAGTCTCTAGATCAGAGACAGTTTCCTTAATTGCAATCATGTTCTCTTGAAGACTCTTCTAATGTGTAGTTTACCCCATTATGTTTTGGCTTTGATTTATAATTTTTCAGCCATATATGTGATTCCCTTACAAAGTTGCTTGTTTTAATTATATCAGACGTCATTTATAAGAGTGTTTATTATTTCGTTTTTTATCATCTTTGTAAAGAGTTCAGTTATGTTAGTGCATGTAAGTATTCTTTCAAATTGGCGTTGGTTCTCTTCTACTGTCATCGTACAACGTTATTTCAATCGGTGTTGCCCTAAACACATCATTGGTCATACTTCCTACAAACTTCGAACCATTCATTGCCACCATTTCATCGAGTTTTCTTTCATCTTCCTATTGTGGACTAATTTCAGCTCAATTTCTTCGTATGTTAAGTCCTTTCATGCTAAAGTTTCCTGCCCAATATTCGTTGATATTAGTACGAGATTTAATAGTAGCATGAACGGGTGCTACAATAAGATGCGGAACCGTACAAGAAATTCCCAGAAATTTGGAATCTAAGTACGTGAACAAACTTTTCAATTTCCATTAAGCATATTTCAAGTAAACAGAAGGAAATTTCATGGCATCGAATGAAATTACATCGACTTACATTAATCATTAGCTGAGAAAGCTAATACAAGTAAAAGGAACAAAGAGCATAAATATATAATCCTAAACATCAAGTGACTAAAAACAAACCAACCTAAGCTCTCTCGCCCCTAATCCTCCTAGCAAGCTGAATATCCTTAGGCATAATCGTAACCCTCTTTGCATGAATGGCACATAAGTTGGTATCCTCAAACAGTCCTACGAGATAGGCCTCGGCAGCTTCTTGAAGAGCGGCGACGGCGCTGCTTTGGAACCTCAAATCGGTCTTGAAATCCTGAGCGATTTCTCTCACAAGTCTCTGGAATGGTAGCTTTCGGATCAAAAGCTCGGTGCTCTTTTGGTACTTCCTGATTTCCCTAAGAGCAACAGTTCCAGGCCTGAAACGATGAGGCTTCTTCACTCCTCCGGTGGCCGGAGCCGACTTCCTAGCGGCCTTTGTGGCTAGCTGCTTACGTGGAGCCTTGCCACCGGTCGATTTCCTAGCTGTTTGCTTGGTACGAGCCATTTGTGAAGAAATTGAGAAACGCGAAAGTAGCGTTTGGTTGACGAGAAAGGGAAGATAATTGGAGGGGTAATGCTTTTGGTGTTCGTAAGTGATTGGAGGGGAGATATATATTGGAGAAGTGGGAATAAACAACGAAGAAAATATTTTAAGTCAGGCCATTATAAACCGTAGATTTGGAAGATTATCGATGGCTGTTAGTTGTTTAAAGTACTGATCCGTGTGTGATGAAGCTTCACCAATAGGATTCGTTCTTTTAAGCGGCACTCTTTTGAAGTTTCGCGCATTTTAATATTTTTAATCAGGATTGTGAAAGCGAATCTAAGCCGTCATTTGATTGAAGTACGGACGGCAGTGATCTAAAATGAGAGTTAGGAGCAAATAGCAATCCGCGAGTCAGCCAGACAGCCAATGGAATTTACCCATTGCACTTCGCACCACAAATAATATTTCGAAAAAATTATACCTTTAGCCACCAATTATTATTATTTTCTAGTTTGATCCATAAATTGGCAAAAATGCCAAAATAAATCAGTATGAAAAAATTATTTCTCACAGTAACGTGGTTCGAATATTATTTCCCCATCTCAAGTATTTTCTACAATACACACCTATAGACCTCAGGATATTTCGGCGTCTTTAAGCTAAAATTTTACATGTATAATCTATAGGGATTACCTGCGTCTTTAGTTAAAATAGGTAGAGAACAACTTCTGATTTCTCCTTCAACTCTGCATTCTTTCTCTGCATGTGGGTGGGGGGGGAAGATTCCTCGACGAGCTAAGATCTCTGATTTCTCCTTCAACTCTGCATTCTTTCTCTGCATGTGGGTGGGGGGGGGGGGAAGATTCCTCGACGAGCTAAGATCTCCATGATAAGGGAAAGTGGAGTTGATCCCTTGTTGTTGGTGTTGGAAGAATAGAGATGTACTGAAAATATGCATGAGCGGGGGTAGACGTGGTGGAGCTCGAAACTCAGGCATATGAAAGATAGGAGCTAATGGCCTCGCTTGCTGCAAGCAGCTGCCACCACCGGATAATAGAACAAGCTCAACCAACCCTTCTCTTCTGGCTGATGGATCGCGTTGGTCATGCTTGTTCCGATCACATCTTGTTGCCTTAGCTTGACCACCCCCTATACTGAGTTGGAGCCAACCTTCATCTCTCTCTAATTCCAGTTCTTGATGATTATTATCTTTAGAGTTTGAGCCCGCCTCATTAAGACTATTAGTTCTGGATTCATCTTAAGTCATGAGGTTATCAGATCCAATTCCTAAGCAAGTTTCGGTGTGAAAACCATACCTATGAACACAACTCATAAGACCAAAGATCTTTGTGTATACACTGCTGCCGCCACAATAATCGTAAAAATCGTTGAGGAAGATGATGTTGTTTAGGAAGGTTTTCGGCATGAACCATGGTCATATTTGGTGACCAAGAAAAATTCCTGCCTCTCCCCCACCCACATGTAGAGAAAGAATGCAGAGTTGAAGACGCCGAGAAATCAGAAGCCCTTCTCTACATATTTTAACTAAAGATGTCGAGTAATCATCATAGATTATACATGTAAAATTTTAGACTAAAGACGCCGAGATATCCTGAGGTCTATAGGCGTGTACTATATAAAATACCCTCAACGAGAAAATAATATTAGAACCACGTTACTGCGAGAAATAATTTTCCGATATTGCATTATTCTAGCATTTTTGCCATAAATTATTAGTCACCAATTTTTATTTCGTAAATAATTTTGTCATACATAATTAATAAAAAGGTTTAATATAAAAATAAATACTTAAATTATACTCAAAATTAACTTTTGATGCATAATTTTTTTCCGTTACAGTTTTAGGTGTCCATCGTTAAAAACCCTCGTTAAAAATAAGTACTTAACGATTTTTTTAACAATATGCACCTAAAAATATAACGAAAAAAACTTTAGACATTAAAAGTTAATTTTAAATATAATTTAGACACTTATTTTTATATTAAACCTTAATAAAAATACAAAACATGGAACTTATTTTTTTAAATGAAAACAAGGTTTGTCTTTTCCGGGGGAGAAAACGATGTGATAATTGTATATTAGAGATACATAATATATTTAGATATGACGAGATTTGATTTATTTTAATTTAATAGAATTATTATTTTTAAATCTAAGTTTAGATAAATTTCTTGGATAAGAGGGATTAGAGTCTAATAACCTTCGTAAAGCTATTTTTCTATATCTAATGAGGCACTCTATGAAGTAATAAAAGAGTGCCTTCGTAAAAATTACTTATCTCTTTCTAATAAGATATTTTATGAAGTAATAAAAGAGTGGTGAGCGAACCAAATAATTTGACAGATTATTTCACTACACAATTCTAATTATATCGATAAATAACCTTTTGCCTAAGAGGAATATGACAATATATGACCACCGACAAACCAGTCTGAAAACAGATATCGTGAGGATCTTTGTGCAAACACTAACACGACTATATATATATACGAAAAACGTACCAAAAATCATAAAGAACGTGTCACAAGAACAGAGAAAAGTGTATCACAAGGAATTTTTTTATTTAAAATAAAAAAACTGAAGAAAAAGAAAAAGAATAATCACCAACATTCAACAATCAATATTAAAATTGACATTAAATAAAAATAAAAAAATAAAGAAAGAGAACAACACAAAAATATTAAAAAAAAACTTAAAGTCAAAATAGAAAAGAGCATCCACCTAAAATCTTTATTATCTTAATCTTAACATTATTATCGGGATAAATTTAAGGGTGTTCAAATTTGAATACTCGCATTTTTTAGTACTCGAAATACTAGTTACTCGAGACTTTCAAATCACAAAAATTCGATCCATGATCAGGCCCGTAAAAGGCGAGTACCCATAAAATTCGGGTACTTGTATTTTATGGGTCACGAGTACTTACTTAATATTTGTTTTATTTTTATAATTTATATTATTTTTTAAGAAAAATTCAAATAAGAAAAACATAAAATATAAATTTTATAGGTTTATAATACATAACATAGACATAAAATTTATAAATTCATATTATATAATAAAAATAAAATATATAAATAAAATTATAACTAAATTTAAAACAGTTTAAGATTAAAAAAATAATTTAAATATTAAGGTGAAATAATTTGGAAAAAATAGAGATTTAGAATATTAGGATAAAATAATTTTGGAATTAGAAATGGAAAATCTAATTTAAAATAAAAAAATAGTAATAAAATAAAAAAGGGAAACCAGGTTGACAGGTACCCGATTAAGGGTAATTTTGTGATCCGGGCTCAACCCAAAAATCGGTAAAAAACAACAGGCGAGTACCCGACCCATAAACTACTCGATAATTTTATACCGAGTCGACAGATCGACGGGTTAGGTATTTTTAAACACCTTAAGGATAATAATACGACACCATAATAATAATAAGTTGAAAGCCATGAAAAATAACTTCACAGAAATCATCGTAAGAACCTAACATTTGATCCTACATCTCAATTTTTTTAACCAAGCTAGTCTATCAAATATGAATATATTTGTGACAAATGAATTTTTTTTTGTTAAAACATGAAAACCATATCTTTTCTATTAATGAGAAAGGATACTCTATATATACAAAGAACAGACCAATCACATTTCTAGCTAGAAATAAAGGTTTGGGTGAAATCAAATGATATCATCATAATTGATTAATTTGGCATATGTGAAACAGAGTGAAATGTTCCATGATTGGTTGAATTTAAACTTACTTTACCATTGTTGATTATTAGGTTGGAGGATAACGCAGAGCATACAGTTTAAAAACCCTGTGATAACAAGAAGCCAACCGCATATAACAAAATGTAAATTAACTTATGATTCCAACATTAAAATAACAAAAAATTCTGAAGCCGTAGATGTTCTAGAAATTGAGCCAAAAACACAATTCCATAACTATCGTAACAGAGTTCAAAATGGCAAAACATTCTGTCAAAACCTAAGATATATCCCTCTCATTCCCAACCCGTGGGAGCCTGAGCCACGACATCAGGTGCACCCGGGATTTGTGCTGGAGCAGCTGCAGCATCCCACCCATCGGTCCCAACGGCAACTGCATTTGAAATTTCAGAGCACGTTAAGTAAATGAAACAATAATATGTCAGATTAAATAATATAAACAGAAATGTATATATATATGTTACCTTGATCACCCCAGTTAACAGCAGCAGGGACACCAGAAATAGGTGCCTGAACCATATCAGCAGACCATTGATCGCCTATCTGTGCCTGCCATTGGTCAGCTGCTAAAGCACCCATTCCAAAGTCTGCAGGAGGAAGTCCATAATCAGGGGCAGCAACAGCTTCTTCCTCTTCTGGCTCTTTAGCTTCCTCAGGCTCCCTGTAGAAGAATAGGTCCACCTACACAGGAATCATGCATTAGAACACGGATTCTAAAACATACAAATCATATAGACATATTATGATAGTGTTGTATCTTTTACCATCACATCCCATTTCTGTCCGGGAGCAATTGTGCCACGCATCTGAAGAACCATCCTTGCTAACAGCCAGAAAAGGCAACCAATGCTGTGCTTTCCCTTGTTGTTAGCAGGGATACCAATGTCAACATATCGCATTGGTGAGTCCGTATCACAAAAGGCAATGGTGGGAATGTTTCCTAGAGCAGCTTCCTTGATAGGCTGCATAAAATAAACAAGTGTTCATTAGTCCAAAACCATTCAATACGTGATAAAATTCAACCCGATTCAGTTGTTGCATACAATTTACCTGGTGGTCAGTCCTGGGGTCTGTGAGAATAAGAAGTCGAGGCTCACTGAAAGAAGTCTGCATCTGGTTAGTGAATGTACCAGGAGTGTGCCTTCCGGCAATTGCATGACAACCAGTGTACTGCGCAAATTTCAGCACAGCTCTCTGACCATACGGCCTTGCGGATTGAACAATGATGTCCTGAGGGTTCTCGATAGCAACAATTACACGAGCAGCAAGCTGAAGCTTCTCCCAGGTTGATGATGTAGATTCCTATGGAAGACGTAACAGACAATTCAATCGTTAAAACAAATACTAATACATAATTACAAGTAACTTATAACCAAATAAACTATCATTCTCTAATTGTAAATTCAACAGGTAATATTTGCGGTAAGCAATCATATCAATAACTATACATACACACTAAAATCAACGCATAGAACAAATTTCAGGTCTAAGAAATGCATATGCTTTTGCTAATCTAATAAATCAAAGAATCCCAAAACTTATAACACTGAGAAACAAAAACCCAAATCTTAATAGACAAAATACACGCAAAACAAATAAAAGAAGCTGAAAGTTGAAAATTCGGCAGCCAAAAACCTTATAGCAAAAACATAAAAAAAACTATAATAATACCTCAAAAACAACAGGAATAAACAAAACTTTACCGTCATTGCGACGCTTGAAAACGTAACGCTCCATTTGGAAATCACAGTTCTTGGTACCGAGATGGACTTCGGCTGCCAACATCATCTGAATGTCGGCTTCTTTCGGAGAAAGCTGCCTTGCGGATGTTGGGGTGGTAGTCGCCATGTTGTTGTTTCTCAGTTTCCCGCAGAGAAGAGCGAGCAGGCACTGGCGAGAGAGAGCTTCAGCAAGTTTTCACTTGTTTATAAACTAGGTTTCGGAAACCCTAACTAAAGGAAATGACACTTATAGGCTCCTTGTTCTTTCATACTTCCTATAAAAGGAGAGTAGTTATATGTGTTTTGGTCAATCCCCCAAAGAAGGCCAAAAATTATATATAAATATATAATTTATTATATATGTTTAACAATCGAACCCATTAAGCGATTTCGATTATAAAAGAGAGTGTTATTCTTTAAGATAGAGCTAGGATTAAATGTTGGAGGGGTAAAATTGTTTTATATCAAAAGAATAATAATATATTATTTAACGAATATTTAAACTAAAAAAAACTTAAAATGTCGCTATTCTAAAATTTTGGAAGGGACAACCACCCTTCCTGGCCACTACGTAGCTTCATCTCTGTTTATTCTAGAGATTTTGAGTTTGAGTAATTTTATTTACAAAAACTATTTATTATAAATATTTTAACTTTTTTAATAGATGTTACTCTATAATTACAAATATTTAACTCTTAAATCACATACATGAACACTGATTTTATCAATGCGATTTTAATTAAATAAAAAACAATAATTCAAAAATGACATAATATTAACAACTTATCACCATTCACACTATTATCATTATTCCACAACTTAAATCTTTAATTCTCACTACTCACACCTCTAATTTGAATATTAAATTAAATCAATAATCGAGCCAATTTCAATATGAAAACCAATTAAATACATTAGTTTTTTGTTTAGTCATTTAATAGGGGGACTAAAAGCATAATTAGACCCAAAATCTTGTCCACCAATGACTTTGTTGATTGTAAACCCTAAACGGCTAAACCCGTTCATGTTCGTCCTCTTTTCTCTATTTGAAGCTTAATGCAAAAGCAAAAATGTCGAACTCAAAAGCCCCACAAGACGTTGAGCTCCTGAAATCCGATATAGCATCATTTGCTTCCTCTCTCGGCTTAGCTGCCAATTCTTCCCTCCCTTATTCGGGCTTCAACGATGTCGATTTTCGAAAAGATGGTCCCCTTAAACCTCCAAAAACCCCAAAACCCAAAAACCAGAGTTCTCAACTTGAGAAGAAATCTAACAATACCCAAACTCCAAAAACTGATAAAAACACGAAAAACAATCAAAGACCAAAGCCCAAGCCTCCAGTTTTGTCTCTTGAAGACGGCAACCAGAGTAATAGGTCTTCTAGAGAGCCCGATAAGTTCAAGAATTTGCCAGCTTTGCCTTTGGTGAAAGCGAGTGCTTTGAGTGCGTGGTACGAGGATGAATCAGAGTTCGAAAAGAAAGTGTTTGGAGAGGAGGGGAAGGTGAAAAAGGCTGTAGCTGTTAGAAACGTGGAGGAATTGAAGAGATTAGCCGAGAAGAAGAGGGAACTTGGGGAAAGATTGATGTGGCAGTACGCTAAAGATTACGAGTTATCGAAAGGAAAGTCTGGGGATATGAAGATGGTTTTGGCTAGTCAGAGGTCAGGGACGGCTACTGATAAAGTTTCTGCCTTTTCATTCGTTGTTGTGGATAATCCTGTTGCTAATTTGAAATCGCTCGATGGGCTTTTGGGTATGATTTTCCATGTTTTCGATGTTGTTAAGTTTTAGGAGTTGGGAAAGTTTCGGTTGTTGAGCTTATGGTTTTATTGCATTTCATTTATGGATGCGGTGTGTTTAACCCATTGGCCATAACTGAATTTATGCTCATTTGATGAACGTTTAGTTACTTTCACTTGCAAAACTAGGGGTGTAGTTATGCTTTTACTTTCTGTTAAAAAGTAAATTTTTTATGAGTGTGATTGAATTTGATCTGTGGCAATTTGTTAGTTTTACATGTTGAATGTTGTTCGTTCAAAAATCTTTTCATGAGTTTATTTGAATAATGTACGAATGTCAAAATGTGTTGATATACTCAAATATTATTATATGCATTTTATTTAATTGTCCCTGGATATTTCCTCCTAGTTGCTGAACTGTTATTGTTCAAATTGACTTCACTGTTGCAGGGTTAGTAACATCAAAAGTAGGAAAGCGATATGCATTTACTGGATTCGAAGCTTTAAAAGTACTTTTTATTTCAAAGTGAGTACTCTTGCTCTCCCTCCCTTCCACTGGTGCATTGCTAATCGTCTTTCTTTCTTCTAGGGTTTCTTTTCAATCTCATTCATTCACGTATTTTACGTGCTACAGTAGGATAGAGTGAAAGTTTAGTAAATAGTGGCTAAGGTAGAAGGTATAAGAGCTTTATGTGCTAAGATGTCTGCCTGAGACTGTTAACCTCCATCTATAGTAGCTGTCCTCTATCTGGCTTTAGGACATTACTGAAACGAATCCCTGCTATACACTTCTAGAAGATATTTTAGTTTGTCTGGAGATTTCCCAAAATCTAAGGTGGGAAGCGTACATTGACATAGTTTGATGGTTTTTGTCAATTGTTACACGCTTAATTTTTTTATAGGTTATTGCCTGATCGAAAGCTGAAAACACTTTTACAACGTCCTGTGAACGAGCTTCCGGAGACAAAAGATGGCTATTCCCTACTGCTTTTCTGGTATTGGGAGGAATGCCTGAAGCAGAGGTATGTTTGACATTTCCCCCCTTCCAGTCCAGAGCTGTCAAAAATAGCCCGAACCCAGAAAATCCATTCAACTTAAGACGAAAACTGATCTAACCCAATTTGACTCATAATTAACAACTTCAACCCGAATCAAAATTAATCTGTCAAAATGATTCAAACCAAACCATCCAAAATATAGCTCAAAGCTAAAGTAATTTAATTTTCAAACTCAAAAAGTTGTACCAATAACTGTAACAAACCTGAACAACTAAAGTGTCAAACTGAAATGATTTTAAAAAACAATCCAAAGGTAATACAACTTGGGTTTTCTTCAACTTTTTCAGGTATGAGCGTTTTGTTAATGCTGTTGAGGAGGCATCGAGAGATATGTTACTGGCTTTGAAAGATAAGGCACTAAAGGTTAGTCTTATCGGCTAACCTATGCTCTACTTGTGATCATTAGCAGATCTCACCTTTTTGTGGAAGATTTGACTACAATGAGTCCTTTTATAAATTGTGCAATCATCGAAGCTTTTTGATCTTTTAGTTGAAGCCTTTTGTTGGAAATTTTATTTTACATGTTAGTTTAAGCTGGCTTGATGCATCTGAATTTAGTTGAATTTGAAAATAGATCATAGGTCAATCTAGAGTATTTTGATCTGAGTTTTTCAAGGTCAAGGTTTTGCTTTGGGGGATGGAATAACATATCCTAAAAAGAGTAATTGGAAATGTTTATTCTGCAATTTTTGTTTCCATTAGCTAATATTACAAATATCTTAACTGCTTTATATTCTGCAGACCATGTATGCACTGCTAAAGAGCAAACCGGAGCAAGAACGTAAGCTGCTATCTTCTCTAGTTAACAAAGTAAGTTGATATTAATTTACTTGAACACTAGTTTTTTTCCATCTATTGAAGCCTGTACACTGTAACAGCTTGTTAAGCTGTAATAATTTTGTTTCATCATTTTCTGGTTATATACAGCTTGGAGATCCTCAAAGTAAGGGTGCATCAAATGCAGACTTTTATTTATCAAACCTTCTAGCAGATCACCCTAATATGAAGGTATAATCTCTGGTAGCTTTGTGTTTTTATGCATTTGTGCTGTATTTAGATGTTGCATTATGCATACCGAGTTATAGGTGAGACTTTCGCTTTGAGTTGGGACATATTTCATATAATATGATATATGAAATCAATTACCTTCCTAACTAGAGAAGGTGATGGCATCCATAATTGTAGGACCAAAATTCAGAACTATTGAAGTGAATGCAGAGGAATTATCATTGAGAAAAATTCAGATATTCTTGCACATGTTAATGTTGCATATATCATTATGCTTTTGCTAACAGCTTCCTGTTTTGCAGGCTGTGGTTATTGATGAAGTGGATACTTTCCTTTTTCGGCCTCATTTAGGACTACGTTCCAAGTACCATGCTGTATGTTCATGCAGTTCTTGTATTTCTATAATATTATAAATATTGTACTGTACAATCTTTTCTCTTTTATGGCTATAGTGAATCATGAAAATTTGCTAATTAGCGAATGAAGTTTAAATGTTACTTCAAGTCATTGAGGGAGAACATTTCATTTCTCCTTTGTAAACCATAATAGGGTCTTCAGAAAGTAAAAGGATAAGCAAGTATATTGTATCTATTAGCAATTATTGAAGATATTTCTTACCGGAAAATATTTTGCTTTGACTTGATATGAAAGTTCTATTGCTGTCAATATATTTGGAATTTCTTGTGATAGTTGGAACTTTATCTTATATATTTGATGACTTGTTTTGTTTTATAACAGTGTCCGATCTGATTGCATTCTTAAGAATTTTCAATTGACTGTTTATTGGAAGGTCATAATTTTAAGTTCTGCCAGTTACACTTTTGAACTCCATTAGTCAAAGATGTGATGCAATTTTTTTTTTGGTTTGTTTTATCTGGGAATTCACTAATATGACCTTTTCCATGGACAGGTCAATTTTTTGAGCCAAATTCGTTTGTCCCACAAAGGAGACGGGCCAAGGGTAGCAAAACGTTTGGTAGAAGTATACTTTGCACTTTTCAAGGTATGTGTGGCTTTAGTTTGTATGGCTGGACTTACTGCTTCTTACTCGATCCAACTAGCTCATTGGATTTAATTTAATATTTTTCTTTAAATGTGTAGTTGTAGTTTGTGATTAGTGTTGTGGAAAGAGGAGATTTTATATTTCGCAATTTCAGGTACTGATTTCTGAGGCAGGAAAAAATCAGCAACCAGATAAAGAAAACAAAGCAGTGAAAAATACTCATAGGTCAAAGGAGAACAAGAGAAAAGGTAGCGGAGAATCACATGTTGAATTGGATTCAAGGCTTTTGTCTGCTCTTCTTATGGTAAGTATTGTCACTGTTTGAAAGTTACTCTGCTGATTTGAAAAAGATTTGCAACTTTTTCCAACTTCCACGATTTCCCCTTTTGCACATCTACAGGGAGTTAATAGAGCTTTTCCTTATGTTTCAAGTAATGAAGCTGATGACATAGTTGATATAGAAACTCCAATTCTCTTCCAACTGGTAGGCAGAACAGAATATGACATTTTATTTTTATTAGACAGCTAGAACATGTGGATTGATGAGGTTTTCAATATTCTTGGATGTTAACATGGAGAATTTTTCAGGTTCATTCCAAGAACTTCAATGTAGGAGTTCAAGCACTAATGCTTCTTGATAAGATATCTTCGAAGAATCAGGTTGTCAGCGACCGATTTTACCGGGCTTTATACTCAAAATTGTTACTTCCTGCTGCTATGAATTTGTCCAAGGCAAGTGAAACTGAATTTGGTTAAATTTTTTTGTCAATGCAATATGTTTGTGATCTAATGCTTCTGGCATTTTGTAATTGTGTTGAACATGATTGCAAAGTTTGTTTCTGATTATTGCTCCTCCTGACAGCATCACAATTCACTTAGTATATTAGCATGCAGATGTTTGTGGATTCTATTTCTTCAAAAAGATATTACCCTAAATTCACATGGCATATTGTTTCAGGCAGAAATGTTTATTGGACTTCTTTTGAGAGCCATGAAAAGCGATGTCAATTTGAAACGCGTGTCTGCCTTTTCAAAACGTATATTGCAGGTAAGCACAACACTTACTCTAAGTAGTTGTATATCTACAAACTTTAACAATTTGAGTATCTTTTGGTTCCACAAGTGAACTGATGTTGTCCGATTTCTGTAGTTTTTGGTTTCTGTACTATCTTTAACATTTAACAAATCAAACATCTGACAGGTTTCACTTCAACAACCTCCACAGTATGTCTGTGGCTGCCTTTTTCTTATATCAGAAGTCCTCAAAGCAAGGCCACAATTATGGTAAATGACACTGGTTTCACTTAGATGTGTCATGCGTGCACCAAATTTCGTTATGCGTAGAAGTTTTTTCTCTTCTGACCATAAAGCTTTTTCTCTTGTTCAGGAATTCGATGCTCCAGAATGAGTCGGTTGATGAAGGTCTTGAACATTTTGAAGATATCGTAGAGGAAACTGTTACTGAACCTAACTTGGCATCAAAGAAAGAAGAAAATAACGCTGATATCTATGTTGGTAAAGCTGCCAATAGTGATTCTTCAGAAGATGAAGGTGTTTTGCCATCTTATTCTGATGCCGATGTTTCGGAAGATGCAAATGAGTTGATTATAAGAGAGACTCCGAAGGATATCCGTGTACAGGAACCCAAGACAATATCCGATCAAAACTCATCAAAACCTCCAAAATCCACTATCAAGTCTTTCTTGCCTGGGGGATACGATCCCAGGCACAGGGAACCTTCTTATTGGTATCTTTCAGCATATCTGACCACGCAGGACTAAGTTGTCCTGGTATAAATTGGCATCGTTATCATTCTGATTATTAAGAAAGCTAGAGTTTTTCTATGAGTCGGTTAAGAGAGGAACTGCAAAAAACTTACATGGTCTTTGGGCTTTTTTCTTATTAATTCTCGTTCATATCCAATTGACCCTGAATTTCATCTTTGATCTTGTTATTTATCTTGTTGGGTTTTCAATAATGATTTTATTCAGTGACTGTGTGTATGTCTTATCTCTACAGCAATGCTGATCGTGCAAGCTGGTGGGAGCTGATGGTACTTTCGACTCATGTTCACCCTTCGGTTGCCACCATGGCTTCAACTCTTCTATCCGGGGTCAATATTATTTACAATGGAAACCCATTGAATGACCTATCACTTACCGCCTTTCTAGACAAGTTCATGGAAAAGAAACCAAAAGCAAGCTCATGGCATGGTGGATCCCAAATTGAGCCTGCCAAAAAGGTTAGTTATCTTATGATTCAAAGTCCTTTTGCTTTGAGGTTTCAGTCCTTGCTGACATGCTGATAGCTTCAATTTTTTTTGCTTATTTTTCTGTTTTCTCAGCTGGATATGAACAACCATTTGATTGGGCAAGAGATTCTGTTGTTAGAGGAAACAGATGTTCCTCCTGAAGATCTCGTCTTCCACAAATTTTTTTTGAACAAAAAGCATTCCTCGAAGAAACCAAAGAAGAAGAAGAAGAAAGCAGCAGAGGAAGAAGCTGCTGAAGAATTGTTTGATGTTGGTGGCAATGAAATTGATGATGATTATGTGGATGGTGGTGATGAAAGTGACAACGAAGAGATCGAGAATTTGTTGGACGCAACCAATCCTTCTGTAGATTCAGATGGGGACTATGACTATGATGATCTAGACCATGTTGCTGAAGATGACAATGAGTTGATACGTGATGACAGTGATGCAGATATGGACTTACCCTCGGACTATGCTGATGGAGAGGATTTTGATGCTGATGCCGGGAGTGATCAGATCGATGAAGATGGTGGTGACGATGTCATAGCTCTTGGAAATGCAGATGATCTTAGTGATGATGAGAGTGAGTTTCATCAAAGAAAAAGGAAAAGAAAGTCTGTTAAAAAGACTTCAGCTTCTCCCTTTGCTAGTCTTGAAGACTATGAGCATTTGCTATATGAGGATAGTCCCACCGAGGAAGAACCGATGAACACTAAAAAGTCCAAAACCGGGAAAAAGAAGTCTGAAAGAATCTGCAAGTATGAAAAGGTCCAAACCCGGGGAAAAAAAGTCTGAGAAAGAATCTGTATGAAAAAGTCCAAACCTGGGAAAAAGAAGTCATCTAAGTAACCACCCCGCTTATTCGAAATCTCATGGTATGACGTTGTGAACATTTGTTTAATTTTGCGTCGGAGGATTAATGCCCTGAAACTCGTACACTCCATCAACGATGGATGAAACATGTCTTGCGCCGGACAGATGAATGAACAAATATCCTCACCTTTTCAGCGTCAGAATTGAAGGTAAATCAGGTAAATGATTCCACATTCCAGTATTTGCAACATCTTCTGTGGGCAAATATATCGTGAACTGAGGGATGGGAATTGTTCAAGGTAGAAAATTTTGTTTTATTGTCTTTTACAATGCCATAATTCTATTGGTGTTCTCATATTCAACAACTTGATGGAAATTTTTGGTGTTAAGGTAGTAGCTTTTGTGATGGCGATTGAAAATTTATTGAAACAACAGAACAAAATGGATAACTGATTCATTGGGAGTTCACCTCGTCGCATGCACGCATGTATTTAGGTCAAGTTTTGTTATCGGTCCCTGTATTATCTATTAGTTATGGATTTAGCTTCTACCTTAATTTGATCAGTTTTAGTTCAAGAAATATGAAACTTTTTACCTAACTATATTCGGGTAGATATTTGTTAGAGTTAAATTTACTATTTGACAGTCGTATTTATTTGTTTTGTTAATATACATATAGTCATCATGACCCTAAGTTTAAGATCAACACTAAGAGTTAGTATGAAAGTCAGCATAAATGACCACAGAAAAGATGTTGAATTTTTATCTTTTCTCTTGATGTCTTTTTACGCCGTATATCATATTTTTCAATTCACGGAAACTATGAAACCATTAATTATGACATTCTCTCTTAACTGTCATTTGTCCATCAATAAGATCTTATGTTTCATTTGTTATTAATAGCTGGTGAAATATTATACACGTAACTCTAATTAAGAATAGAAAATGAAGGTAATCAATGATTAGTAGCAGCTGATATCAAGCTTGGCACATGACATGAAATCCCTTGAGATCTACCGCATGATCTCTAAATGTTTCTTCTAAACACGCACTGATCCAAATGTTGAGATTATGTTGCATGTTTGCCCAGACATTTTCTAGCTACCCGACCCCCTGCCTATGCACCATAACCCTAGCCTCATTACCCTTTTTTGTTCAATCGTTTAATTCCCCTTTATTTATCAAATAAGGTAGTCTTTTACGAAGATTAAAAAATAATGGTCTCCTTCGACATAATTACCATATGAGACTTAAATATTAAGGTGAGGGAACAAGAATCATTTTTCAAACACATCTTAATAGATAATAGTTAAATTATATTATTAATTTGTATACTGTTATCAAATAATAGATGTAGTTCCCGTTCCCAAGATCAATTCCAATCTTATAATTAGATTATGTAGTTGACTCAATAGTTAAAGAGAATATTGTTATTTATAGAGATTTTTATGGTTCGAATAACTGCTTGTGCAAGATGTGTGTACGTTATCAATAATTAAGAAGAATTTTAAACAAATACTATTATTATTAGAAATGGGTATTTATTTTCATTATATTCGATATAACAAATTAATTCAAAATCTAATTCAATGATAATATGTAAAATTAATAAATTATACCATTTTTTTTAAATTCACAATACTCAAACATTTTTCCTAACCGAACCAAACTAAACCAATTTGTTAATTTCCTTTTCTACTTATTCACTTATTTATAAATAAAAGGTTAGCATTGTAAATTTAAATATTTATATATAATTAATTAAATAAACAAAGAAAGATAGCAATTAAGGGTATTATCATTATCATCAATATATGAGAATAGTTTTATAAATTAATGTAAAAATCACAATATTTTTTTAAAAGTAGTTTTAGTTTATCACCATTTTCCTTTTTCATAATATTTTTCCAAATTAGCCTTAAAATTTAGTTTTTTTTTCTAACTTGATCTTTTATCTATATTAGTCTTAAAATTTAATAATTTTCAATTTTCTGTCATTTTAAGATTTGATACTATGAGATATTATCACTAAAAAGTTTAGTTTTAGACTAATATGAATAAAAAAATTAGTTTGTTGATAAAATAAATCCTCAAACACTTTACATAAAAATTAATCAGGTTGACGACCACACTAATATTTTTCTATAACATCATCATTTTATAAATTATCTGAATTCATTATACAATTTCAATGGCTAAATAAATTATTCTTCTTTCTTATAAATTTTAGATTTAAACAATAGTGCTCGCAGAATAAATATACACTAATTAAAAAAAATTATAAATAAATATTATCTTATAATCATTTAGACTATTAAAATATATATTCTTCTATGATAATAATAAAACTCATACTAATGATAAGCTCAGGTGCGCATGGTGGAAACTCAAAAATTCCAGTCAATCTAAGAATTAAAAGCTTTTGGCAGACGATGTTGACGGTGAAAAGAGAGAAAAAATGATTGTCTCTTATTTTCATATATAATAAATAAGGAGGGGTAAAATAATAAGATATCTCTAATACCATATTAAAAATAACTTTCGTAGAAAATTTTCGAATTATAAAATACCCTCAGTAATAATCCCAAAAAGAGTATCTGCAATTTTATTCGGGTTTTGGTCCCCTCGTTTCATTTCAGATTTTGCACATACAATCACCAACGCCTCAACATCTGTCATCATTATCCAAAACCTTTACTATGCTCTTTTATGCAATTTATTCGGCGTATTTATCGATAAATCACCATGTCTTTTATTATTTATTGTGCAGACATTATTTAATTTTTTTTTATTAATCTAACAATTTTTATAGAAAGACACGAATAATAATTCATGTTTTATGTAGATGTGATGTCAAGTGTAATAAAAAATAGGGTAAAGTATAGTAATGATCATTGAATATTTTTGAAGCTTGTATTTAAGTCCCCTAACTTTTAAAACTTACAATACAATCCCCCAACATTTATTCCGTTTGCAATATGGTCCCCCAACTTAAACCACCGTTAGAAATTAGGGTAAATAATATAAAAGGTTATTGAACTTTTCAGACATTTGAATTTAGGTCCCCCAACTTTTAAAACTTGCAAAACAATCCTCAATTTCATTCTAAACCCCAATTTCCAAAGTAATTCAATTTCATTCTAAATCCTAAATTCCAAAATAATTCAATTAAATTCAATTATGTCAGATTTATTATTATTTAATTTCATCTTATTTCATGTGATACGTATTTTTTATATAAATATAATAGTATAATTCTTATCTGTTGAAGAAAATTTTTAATTAAAAAAAGTAGTCAGGATATAGAAGAGGTTGAAAATAATTCGAATTTTAAATTTATAAAATGTTATTTTGACGTATAAATAAAAGTGTAAACTACTAGGTTGACAACTTAACTATCTAGCCCTTTTTACTTTTGTCATCGATCTTTTAAATTTATCAATCATACAACATAATTATTTAACTGTTTCAACTAAGCCACTAGTCGTTACCAATTGATACAAATGATGAAGTGGCAATTAAAAGGAATTGACATTATTATACATTTAGTCTTTATTATTTATATAATCAATTTGGTCCTAAATTAAATATAATTTAATAAATTAATCATTTAATTAGGATCTGACATGTGTTAGCACATGATCATGACACGTGTCATTGGTGACACATGTCACCACCTAATTATTTATATATGCTATCAATTTGGTCCTAAATTAAATAAAATTTAATAAATTAATCATTTAATCAGGATCTGACATGTGTTAATACATGATCATGATATATGTTATTGGTGACACATGTCACCACCTAATTAGAAGAAAATTAAGTTACAAAGAAGTAAAATTTGGGTATTGGGCAAACTCAAACCTGAGTCACACAAATGAAGATACAGGGTGGAGCCACTAAGCTAACACCATCGTTTGTGTTAAGAGATATACAATAATACATATACTATAGTATGACCAATGCCAGAAAAAAAGAATATAATGGAAAATGGAAATAATGAGATTTGAACTTCGGCAAAAAATTTGAAAGCAATAAATGATGGAAAAATATTATATTTTTTACAATAAAAAATATTATATTTGATAAATTGTTTGATAGATTTAATATATTTTTAAATATTAGTTGATACAATATTTTAAAAGAATAAATTTAAGATTATATATTTATAAACTAAATTTAATAATTATATTTTTCATATTTATAATTCATGATTATATATATAATCTTAAGTTGAGTATTTCTAATATAATTAATAATTTTAATTTTTTATTAAAAATAAAATATTCAAAAAATATAAATGATTCATACATTAATATATGAATATATTTTTTATTTATACATCTAAATATAAATATACATTTATATAAATATATTTTTATTCGTATATTGAAATATTTTGATTAAAATATAAACATATTTTAAATACTAGTTTATACAAGAAAAATAAAATATATCAAAAATATAAATGATTCATACATTTAAATATAAATTGAATCATTTATATTTTCTATACATCTATATTTAATAAGAAAATAAAATTATTGGGGGACTGTTTTGCAAGTTTTAAAAGTTGGGGACCTAAATTCAAGTGCCTGAAAAGTTCAATGACCGTTTATATAATTTACCCTAATTTTCTAACAGTGATTTAAGTTGGGGACCATATTGCAAACGGAATAAATGTTGGGAGACTGTATTGCAAGTTTTAAAAATTAGGGGACCTAAATGTAAGCTTCAAAAATGTTCAATGACCATTACTATACTTTACCCTAAAAAATATTAAATCGATAAAATTTCTTAAATGATATCTGTCACGTAAATAAGAAAATAATTTTTTTTTTTTATAAATACACCAGTTTATTCACCTATTTTCAGGTGTCACGAATTTAATTTCCAAAATGACATTTTTTTTGAGCCAAGATATACGTCATATGAGTTTTTTAAAAGACACGTTTAACAGGAAGTATCTTTGTCTGTATGGTGGGAAATCAGTCAATTTTAAAACATTGGACCAAATCGAAAGGGAAAAAAAAGTTGAAATTATTAAAAATATATATACAAGTATTATTCAAAAGGAATAATGTTTGTGACACGTTGTCTATCTCTGATACAATTTTATTTTTATTTTTATTTTTTCATGTATAGTTTTATTTTGATTGAATTAAAATACTCGAGTATTATCCATTAGAATATATATTTAAAATAAAATTAGAAATACTTTTCCATATATGAAAGATATTTACCTTAATCGCGACAAAAAGACAAACGTTTAATTCAAACATCGATCGAACTATCCAATAAAAATTTTGGTTAATAATTTTCATAAAAGTTTCGGTTTGATTATGAAGTAAAAGAAATAAAAATTAATTTAATTTTAACTAATTCAATTTGATCGATAATCAAATTAACCGTTTTAACGCTCTTGCTTCCTTTACGTATTTGCATTTTACTTGTTGCGGAACACTTTTTTTCCTCCATTTAATTTAAAAATAAATAGATTTTTAAGAACACTAGAAATAATTGAGTAATTAAATATTGCCAAAAGTTGCCGTCAAGAAGGACCTTTCATTCTCTTCTTCACAAGGTTCTGGAGAGAAATCTGCAAAATATCAACCATTTGCCTCGAATCCTCACCGTCCATCCACCCCTTATCTATCACCGGTGCACAACATAATAAAATACACATTTATTTATTCATTTTTCGTCCATTGTACTAATATTTCTTTGATTATTTCATTTGCAATTTTTTTTCTAAATTTACATCGTAGGCTATTTACAAAATATTATTATATTTATATATAATATAAAATATTTTAATTAAATATTTTGTGATTAATCTAATTGCAATTTTGTTGGACCTCCTCGAATTTCCCCCAAAATATTGTCCTAATATATCACGTCTTTCAGAAAATTTCTCTTATGAGAATAGAGATCTGTATCTTTGGACACAAAAATTTTAAAATAACTATATTCGAAAAATTGCGATCTCTTTTGGTAAATTCATATAAATTATCAAAGTTAAAATTTATTGTTGTGTTATATCTGTGAATATGTAAACTTATGAATAATTAAAAATAATTTTACGCTTGATTAGAAGTGTGCAAAAAGATTTGTTTCCATTGATCATATCTGGTGATCCGATCTGAAAATTCAGATATCATATTTTTTTTTTAATTTTTGATCATTCTATCATATGTCTATAATTTTTTTAAATAATCGGGTCAAATTCGGATTGGATTCATTTTAATTTAGGATTATCTGAAAACACAAAAAAGGGCTTTTACATTTTGAATACCTTTTAGCCTAATAAATAAGTAACTCACTAACTCATTAAAGCTCTAACCTAATAAAAATTAATATATTTAATTATTTATTATATGTGAGTAATTATATATATATATATATTGTTGAGGTATCGAATAAGTTATATTAAACCATAAAATATAAAAATTATTTGTTCAAATTAAATTTTATATTTTAATTTGAATATCTATATATATGATCTGAAAATTTGAATATCTAATTTTTTCAGATCGAATACAGATAAGTAATTTATGTATTTGAAATTTCTAGATATCCTGAATTTTCAGATCAAATCGGATCAGACTTGATATTCGAATTCGCACACCTCGTCTCTTGACACCGATACTAAGGAGATGTTTAGTTTGTGGAAAATATCATTATTAAGGGAATGTCGTTACTAGATAATACTTATTAGCATTTTTTTGTTAAAATGGTGGGAATGTCGTTATATCCAAATGTTTAGGTAATGAACAATTCTCACAACTTTGAACAGAGATATCCCTAAAATAATGAATTTGTCTCATATGAATCATTCTCAATTCTTATTCTTTGTGTTTTACTTAAAATTAAAAACTTAATAATAATACTACTCAAAGAGTTTAATTAAGCGACATACTAATAAATTTGAGCAGTTAAAATCACTTTATATTTTTAATATTTATAAAATTTTATAAGGTGAAAATATTATTATTGTAAAAAATATAATTATTTAAAATAATATTTAATTTTGAGTTATTAAAAAGTATATCTTATACATTAGAAAATATTATATTTGCCCAATTGAGACCATAATATTATTTTTATATTATATTAATTTTAATATAAATAAATATGATACTTATAAAAATTATTTAAAAATATAATTTTTAATACTAATTATATTAACTTTGTGTTAAATTTATTTTCTTTAAACTTGGATAGTGTACTAATTAAAAGTTTTTTTAATAAATTTTCATTCAAATATTTATATTTTAATATTAAAGTTTAACTTGTTAAAAAACATATATCACGATTATAATTTATTAAAACATGCATTCAAAAGTAATCATATATTTCTATGATCAAACTTTATAATCTTGCATTTATTCCAAACAATCCAAAGAAGGTAATACAAATTTTCTAGAGTATTATTATATTTTAATAATTTTATTCTAAAAAATAATCTTACGTTCCGTGAACTAAAATCAATTCTAAAGATCATTATAGACTAAAATCGAAAGAAAGCAATGAAGTCATTACCTCCATTCGATCTTGTGCTACATCCATGATCCCTCATAAAAATAAAATAAAAAATCTAACATTGATCAACAGTCAATTACAATTTTCTGTTTAAATTAAAATAAATAAATTGTTTATAATAATTATAATAAATTCTTTTTATTGATAAATTACCTCCCTTCGCTCTTCGCACATGAATCGCGTTTGCTTTCATGAATAGAAGGAGATCATCTGCAAAGAATAAATTGTTTATTTTTTTTAATTTTTTAAATATTTTTTTATTTTTTAATGTTAATACTAATATTTTATTTTCATTCTTTAGATAATATAAAATCTAAATAAAATAAAAAAATATTAGATAAGTGATTTTGTCACATCATATCAAATGATTAAAAATATTTAAAATATATATTAATTTATAATTAACTTAGTTTAATAAATAAATTAATAATAAAAGAATTAATAAAAGAATAGATAAACATAAGACAAAACCCACAACAACTTATATATATAATCGCAGGTTTCTGGAGAGTTCTGGGGGGAGACCTTACCATTGCAGGGAGAGAGAAAGGGAAAACCCTTTCAATTTCTTTTGATTTCCTTTATCTCTGGGTCTTTCTTCTATCTGAAACCTGTTTCTTCACGGAAACATTCACTGGAGAAGGGTTCACCAAAAGATGTAGTCTTTAAGTTATGTTTATAAAATTTATAGTCCTTTTGTCGACGTCTATATCATAGGAGGGATCGTCGTCTTCTTCGTTTCCATTTTCTTGGTTTGTAGCTTTAGGTTTGGTTAACTATAATTTGTCGACAATACAAAGGACTTTTCTGGGTTTGTTTTTTTTTGAAGAATGGCGAATGGAGGAGAGAAAAACAGTGATTTTTATGCGGTTTTGGGGTTGGATAAAGAATGCACTCAAACAGAGCTGAGGGCTGCTTATAAGAAACTTGCGCTGGTTAGACCCCAACAACAGATTTCTTATCTTTGTGAATTCATGCCATACATTTTTATTAAAGTTCATGAACCAGTCCTGTAGATTTATGGGTTTTAGAAGAAAAAATTTCCCCGGAAAATTCTGTGAATGCGTTGACCATTTTATAGTGAAAAATAAGGAGAAGAAAAAAAGCAAAATTCTTTAATTTCGTGTGTTGTTGGGAACAGAGATGGCACCCTGATCGTTGCTCCGCCTCGGGGAATTCAAAGTTCGTGGAAGAAGCCAAGAAAAAATTCCAGGCTATTCAACAAGCTTACTCTGGTTAGTTTTCTCTTCTTAAATTTATTGATTTTTATTAATTTAAAGTTGAAATTATTGACCTTCACGAGATGTTATGTCTTCTTGCCACAGTTCTGTCTGACGCAAATAAGAGGTTCTTGTACGATGTTGGAGCTTATGACAGTGATGATGACGAAAATGTATCGTTTTTCCTTTCAGAAGTTCCTTACATTAGTTTCAAGTTCGGTAAGATTAAGGTTTAATCAAACCAAACTTGAAGAATTTTCTTTTCAATTTCACAGGGCATGGGAGATTTTTTGAACGAAATGGCAGTGATGATGACCCAGACAAAATCTAGTGTAAGCATACGCTTTCCTTCTTTCATTCCTGTTTTTTTCTTTCTCAAAGTCTAAATTCGAGTGAGTCGGATCAAAATTTGTTTTCCTAAGGGTTGCTTTTGGAAAATCCTTGGTATTAACTGTTTTTTTAACCATTTTGTCCCACAACTCATGGATCTAAAACAGGACTTTATTATTATTATTTTATATATATTTGTTGGGTTGGTAATATGATCGATTATCTACTTGGAATCCCATGTCCGTCGTAGTTGACCCCATTATCTGACATTTGAGAGAAATGGCTTTGTGGGTCCTTCGAAAGTGGATTTTAGGTACATTTGTATGCTCCTGCCACTTGCTTGATAATAATCACTATGCCAATAAGGCTCGAGTAAGTATCATGTGTAAGTTCTCGGTTCAGATGTTATTTTGATTTGTGTTTCACTGTGTGAGTTATGCGTCGTAAGTACGTGTGGATTTATTGGAAGATGATCGATTTTGTTCGGTTCGAGATAATTCTGTCATCATTCCATAATGCTTTGAAGCATTCACAATTTGAGGGCTGTTACTGAATATAGTTTTTAACCCCTAGGAAAATGCAGAAGAAAGCTTCGAGGAATTACAGGAACTGTTTGAAGAGATGTTCCAAGTGGGCATTGATTCGTTAGAGTCGAATTGTCAGCAGACTACGCCCTGTCCTTCTTCATCTCAGTTTGCATCTTTTGGTGAAAATTCTGCCTCCAACAAGCGGAATTCTGCTGATATGAGTTCCGGCGGGACGATGCAGGAGAGTTCTTCTAGCTTTGATGTACAATTTCACGGCTTCTGTCTGGGGGTAAGTTATAAATGCTACGTTGTGTGATTCGTTATTCGGAGTAAACGTAAAATTCACAGGAATGCTATTGTTTTTTATTTATGATTTGAAGACAGGTGGAGCGCAAGGCAGGTATCAGGCATCGGAGAGGAGCCAAAGGAAAAATAACAGTAGGCGAAGCCGGCTGAGAAATGGCTGGAAACAAAAGCTTTCATCTGGCCAGGACTACGGCATCTCCGGTTCATGATCAACACCATCTCATTTGTACTAGTCGATCATATTGATTTTAACCAATTAGGGAGATGAAGATGCAACCATCGAGTGAGATCACTGCTATGGAAGCCGTTACCGAGGGTGAGAAACATCCCGATGGACAGTGGCACCATTCGACTTGTAATTTTGTTTCCATGGTTGTGGCTGACCGTGCTCATGAATTTACATTTATAGCTTTGTTACTCTTTATTTTACCTTGAACTGTTCTACATTTGCTAATCAAATGGATTCCTTTTAGCCTATCGCTGAATTGTTACGTCCTTTAATTGCACACCAACAAAGGGAAGAAAAATATAAATAATTAATAATTAGTTGATCTAATAAGATAAAGAGAGATTATATAAAAAAAATAAATGAAATATTAAAAATTCGAACGAATTAAAATGTATCGATTCTAAATTTAATTGAGATCCGTTCTCATCATATAGAATACGGGGGGGTATGTGTCCAAATTCATTTGGGTTTAAGGACCCCGAAACAGGGTTTAGCCGAGATGAAGTGACTATATCCAGGGCCAGGGACATGGCACCGCAGCCGACCAGACCGGTCACTTTGGTGTGGTGTTTGTGTTTGACGGTGAGTGAGATTGTCTCCATCAACCTTAAAATATCCAGCACCACTTTTTGATTTCGTCAATGCTGAAAAGCCAGGGTACCCTGCAACTTGCCATAAATGTTCCAATCCCATGTACTTTCATTTTGGACCAAACATTTCCCATGATAATAATATTAGTTACATTTAATCCCTATAGTAATCTTTTAATTCATGAATTATTATTTCCGTTCCAATTTGTTTAAAAATAATAATAAAAACGTGATAGAGATTATATTTGTATTCGGCATTTAAAATAAGAAGAAATAATAATTTAAGTACCAAAAATAAGAGAACATGTATAATTTAAAAGTAAAATCGTAATATTATAATATTCTCTTCCACTTTGCCGTACAACTTGTATGGTTTTTGTGTCTGGGGCACTGTTTGATTCCATCTAAATGTGGAAAAAATTAAAAATGTAGGGGTGAAATAAGAGTGGAATGTTCATGAAGCACACTAAAATATCTAATTTTAAAGAGTGGTTGAATATTTCTTTTTTGTATTTTAATTTCTTTAATGAACCCATTGGTTTCCCCATTATTTTTTATATTTTATATTTATATATTAATTAAATGATCACGTTCTTCATGTTTAAGTTTTTATGTACACGAATATTATTTTTCTATTTTATACAAAAAAATGAGTTAGTTTTTTTAATTAATTTGTCTGAAATTGTTTTTTTTTTTTGTATTTTGCAAAATCATTGATTGAATTTTAAAAATTGATTGGGTCGAAAATCAATTGTTTGGTCAATTAAACTAAAAATCGATGATTTGATAATGAAATAGAGTTAAAAATAGAATAAATTATGTTTGAATTCAAAAAAAGAAAATTTTAAAAAATATTACAAATGTTTATTATTGTTTTAAAATATGTGTTTTGGTTTTCTGTTTTTGGTTTATATTTAATATTTTTGGGACCAAACTCGTCCCATAAAATCCCAAAGTAATAGTAAAATACTAATGTTATAAATGTTACCGTTTTAGTTGCTCAAGTTCTAATCGCTGTTAAAATAGTTCGTTAAGTGACACATGTCATAATCTAATAATTTTGGAAGTTTATTTAAAAATATTTAAAATATTTTATTTTTGAAAAATCTCCAACTTTTTCTAAAATACCAAGAAAACCTTAACTCTTAAAATGTTTTATTCTAGTATCATTTACTCCAACTGCTAGTCATCTTTGGCCACCTATTCGTCGGCGACTGACCAACCGTACGCTATCGACTACCCACTGATCGGTTACAACCCTTGTTATTATCTAAAAACTTAAAATTCTCAAATGCCTACATTTCAATCGTTAATCCCTAAAATCCCAAATACCCAATCTCTTAAATTCCTTTGGTTGATCGTGGTATCGACTGTTTACCCGATCGTGACAGGTCATTTGAGCTTTGGTTGTTTGACCATGGAAATGTGAGAAGCAGGCAATGAAGTGGGTAGACGCGAGTTGAGATCTTAGGGAAGGAAAGAGTTTTTTTTATTGTTTTTAAAAATTTCTAAGATGGTGAAACTTGTTATTTAACTGGGTTTTATAATGGTCATTACTGTTATAGTCTTACTATAGTGATCGACAGTTACAAGAAAGAACAAACTAAATGAAGCAAGAAGGAAGTGAGAAGCAAGATTATTGAACTTCATTCATTTCATTGATTGTATTTATCTCAATCATAGAGAGCTACATTTATACAACTGATAAGAGCAATTCTAGAAGCTCTAACAGTTTCAACAGCTTACAACAATTTTAACTAACTATAACAAACTAACCATGAGAAGCATGGTCGGCCCTGGGCCAGGGTAGGAGGGGCACCCGCCTAGGGCCCACAAAATAATTTTTTTTTCAGTATAATATTTTTTATTTTTTGATAAATTAAAAGATTGTAAAACAAAATAGAGCAATTTATGCATTTAGTATCTATACTATCAGTTTTGATCCGTTTTAGTACCTATTTTTTTTCTTTCAAAATCATATATAACATTTAATTTTCATTTCATTTTAGTATCCGTCGTTAAAAACTTAACACATTTAGTACATAACTATCAGTTTTGGTTTTTTTAGTACCTAAAATTTAAAAAAAAAACTTAATTTTAAATTTTGAACGAATACTAGAATGAAATAAAAAACTAAAGTTTTTAACGGCGGGTACTAAAATGAAACAAAAACTAAACTTTACATATGATTTTGAAAAAAACTAAATGTTTAGGTACTAAAACATATCAAAATTGATAATTTAGGTACGAAATACATAATTTACTCAATATAATAATGGGCCCAAAACAAACATTTTAATTTAATATTTATTTCTCAAAATTCAAAAAAAAAATCATTAGAACTCTTTAATTTTGGTCTTTCCAAATTCTTATTATCAATTCACCAAATATTTTTCCTCATTTTTTAAATCAATGAAAAATTTATTAACATTATTTTTTTCAAAACTTAATGAGAGGAAAAAAATTTAAGTATAATTAGTATGTTTTTTTTTTCAATTTCATGTTTCACGATTCATCTGAAAATTATTATTCTCATTTTTTTAATTTATCATATTTGTATCACACATAAAGTCACAATTGTTTGTTATCAATTATGGTGCTTGAATAATATTGAAGATTGTTTTTAAAATTCTAGTTAGATCATGTTTTCAAATTCTTTCTTTTAATTTTATATATTTTCAAATTCTAGAAAAGATCGTTCTTTCATTTTCAAATGCTATGTTATGTATCGAGAAAAATATGTTGGAAAGCATTAATGTTGACACTATCATCAATGGTTTTGCATTAAAATATTCGAATGTAATATTTTTATACAAGTATTTGTATTCTTAAATATATTTTTTTTGACATCTTTTATATTGTAATGAGTTACTATTTTTTTAATTTTAAAAAATCTAATAAAATATGTATATTAGATATTTCTTAATTATTTTTTATATTAAGGGCCTATTTTTTTAATTTTTGCCCCGAGCTTAAAAATAGTCAGGATCGACCCTGATGAGAAGTCAGCTAAGCAAACAACTTACTCGAGTTCATACATACTAACAGTTACGATCGAGATACCTAAAATGATAACTTTTATAACGTTAAATACCTGAATGATTTAAAAAAATAGTTTAGACACCAATAGTGCAAATAATATAATTTGAGCATTTATTTTATATTTAAGCCTAGTCCACCAAGTAGTTAAAAAAGTTGCAGCATTGGCCTGGCCATGGGGTGGAGTTATGATAATGACAGGGAAGTAGACAAGAGCTAGCTAGCTGTTGTAAATAACATGGCAAAGTGAACAAGCCGAGGACTAGTTGATATACAGCCAAATGCTTGAAACAAATGAGCATGGTATGCACTATGCTGTGCAGATGATCAGGATGTTGATATTTTTGGAAATTCATGATTTAATTCTTGAACTTTTGTTTCTTTTTATTTTGGTCTCAAAATTATAAAAATAAATCACGGATATAATATAACGGTTTCTGTAAAGGCGTCGGTAAGAAATGATGACAATAATAATGATCTTATTTCTATCATTAATTTTAGACTATCTCTATTTTTCAAGGAAATAACTTCCCTAGTTTTAGCCTAAAATAAATGCAATCTAGTGGGTGGAGTAATAGAAAAAATAATTGGACTTTTGATTTTGGACTTTGGACTTTTAGATGGAGACAATGCTGTTTTGTTGGTAAACACAGTCCTCAAATGATAATCCAATTGTTAGATCCAGACCCAAGCACTAATTTTTTCTCACACTTAATTTAAATTAAATATTCAATTTTAATTACGGCCCATAGTGAAAAAATATATAATAGGCACAAACTAAACGATATCGATTGTGAAAAGAAATGATCATGTTTTTTTATAGTCTCAAATTTGAACATTATAAATATCGTAAGTGTCACAAACTAGGCGGTAAAAAATCCACAGACCAAGGTTCCACGTTATATAGTGACCGAAAATGATCCAGGGTATATCGGTGAGGGCTTAGAGGTAGTCACCATGAGCGGTAAATTTAATTTTAAAATAATCATTCTCGATATTGATAAGTTTTATAGGCTGAGCAGGAGCAAGGTCTTCAACGTGGGTTCAATGTAGGATACTGGGGACTGAGGAAAAGGGGTTGGCTGAGGAATCGTGATCCATGACATCAAGGAAGGGTATCAGAGGGAAGGAGGCAGGGTCATGCGGGGCTTCATCGCGCCGATGATGCTTCTTAGGGGATCTAGCATCGTCCGAGGAAGTCGGGAGCGAAGGCATGCTAGGGTAAATTATAAAGATTAATAATGTATATATATTTTTTTAAATTAAAGTGATTAAAAAATAATATATGTTTTAAATATTTTCAATCATTTGACAATAAATGTTCAATTTCCTACAGTTGGTGCTGGTGCTCAAACTCATGACTTAAGAACAACAACGATTCCTTTAACCACTAAAATAAATTAATTCGTACATAATTTACCAGTTTAAATTTAAAATTGTAAAATAGAATAATAAATTTCTTAATCGTTTAAACGAGTCATTTATGTCACAAGTGATGTTTAGAATTCACCTACCCTTCACCATTTTCCAGCGTTTGATGTCGACCCACCACTCACCAAAGCCGTCCCTTTTAATTCGTTAGTGGTTCTTAATCAGATTTTTGCTTGTCTTATCATCCG